GACTTCAACTCCCAGAATTCCCCAGCCAGCATGGGAGTTGAAGTCCACTCATCTTAAAGTGGACAAGTTTGGACAACACTGCCATAAACAACCTGCATTCAGCAGTGAATTTCAACTGGAGGGACTCCTTCAGCAATCAAAAATCCAGTCATGGTGCAGTGCTTAAAGCTCATTGACAAGTACTTACTGGAGGCTTCCATTTTATACACAATAGCAACACAACTGTTTCTCATAGCAACTTCCCATCAACTGAAGAAAAAGAACAATTGCTAAAGAACATGTCAGAGTTTCTTGCGCATCAGTACTGCCATCTGTTGGCAACTTATAACATTGGAGGCATTACTTTTCATTCAACCCTCATATTTAGGATTTTTTAACATACACTCTTTTGTATTCCACTATTTTAACAAATCAAAATTTGGAAAAAATTACTCAGGAATGTCTTTAAAACAGTTTTGTTTCAACAGACTTTTGGGCCCTAGGATGATCCGAAGCATGGTTATTATTACTTGTTATTATAGTTTTTATTGTTTATGAATGGTTTTAATAGTTGAGATAATCTGCCTTCGTTTGTTCATATACATTGCCCAGAATTTATCAGGCAACATGTATAAATATTGTTAAATGAGCAAATGAACAAATAAAGGAAATTCCCACACATTGCTTAGAAAAGCTCAAACAAAAGAATTTCCAACACATCTCAGAAAACAGCTGTTTCTACTTCTGCTCTGATCTATCATTTCCTCACACACCCACTTTTAAAACATTGTTTTGTGTTGTGTAATCCCAGCCAATCATAATCTATTCAATAAACTATTGTTAAGCAAGCAATGCATGAACCAAGTCTATTTCCTACGTTCCAAAGAAGGTTTGTATAACTTTCAGGAGATTCAAACTGTGTTACCACAGAGATGCTTCTATGCCAGTAGGCATAGCCAGCTGTGGATAATGGGAGCCATAAACCAAGGAAAAGAGGATCTGTGGCTCACCAGCCACAACCAGCATAGCCAATGGTGAGAACTCCTGGCAATATTAAGAGGCCCTAAGTTCTCCATCTCTGCTGAAAGCCAACACACAAGAAGAAGGCTTGGTTGGCATGGCAATCATGAGAGCATACCACAACTTAGCGTAAAAGATCTTCTGCATCCTGGTATCCTGCAGAGGCTTTGAGACTCTATACAAATTACAAGCAGCAGAAACTGGCAAATCTTGGACCTTTAATTAGAAAGTCTTGCAGCTTCCCCCAGAGTGCTCAGCTCTCTTCCTCCTAACCTTTTGTTTTGCTGGTTCCAACATTAGCCAAGGAACAAGAATAGCCATGTCTTGCATGTGTATTGGCCCCAAGACAAAAACACACAGCATAAACAATCTGATCCTATCTGACCTCAGGAGCACACCCAGCATCTATCAAAGGCAGTAGAATTGCCAAGGCTCTGAATAACGATAAAACAAAGACATCAGTTTTATAGCCTTACAACATTTAACGTCCTGACCAGAGCTCATAAAACAAAAAATTCCACTCCTCATACATCTAGATCTGAATGATCTATTATGCAGTCCACAGGATATATTATAATACAATAGCCATTTCTGCTTTAAAACAAGGAAAGAATCCAAAAGGAAGAGAGACGGAAGTTTGAGAGAGAAATGTCCTGTTCTTCTAAGTGGTTGTGGGGTTAGGGTAATTATTCAAAGCCAATCAAATAAAAAATCAGGAAATGCTGAAATGCATCCTTCTCGGGAATAAATCCCTTAACAACCACAAAATTGCAGAAAAGCCGTATGGCCTGTCATCACATTTAAGACAACTTGTTTATGTATATCACCCCAACAAAGAAACAACCCAGTTCAATCCTTTACAGGCCAGTTCTATAAACAGGAACACTTATCACACTCATTGTTTTATGGGGGAAAAGAATTAAATTTTGGAAAATTTGAAAAAGTCCTGAGACATTTCATACTTGGGAGGGATGGCATAAAATGTATTAATAGACAGGGTTTTGCATATACACACACATCCTTGCATGACAGAAAAGGCAAAAGCAAGGTATTATCTTTATTAAATGTTGAGGAAGAGATGAAGACTTGCAAGATTCTGTTATTATAACCAATCTCAATAAAAGTAGTTGTAATGGGCTGTGAGAATAACCTTGAGAGACAGGAGGAAGAGCCACAACCTAGACAATGGTCTGATAAGAGAAATCTGAGTCCAAACCAGGAATGGGGGTAGAGAGAGCATCTAGAATTGACCATCTCTAGTTCTCTGGAACGTAAAAGCAAGAGACCCCTCTCTGAAGTCTGGCGTGCTTTCAGACGTA